ACCCGGGGGGGGCATGCCCAGCGCCCCGCGGCGGGCCCCCCAGGAGACGAATGCCCCGCGCACAGCCGAGCCGGTGGTGCTTCCTCCCACAGGGCTGCCCGCGGGAACCAGTGGCGCTTAGAAGGAGCCGAAGCGCTCACCTGCCGACCAGCCTGAACCAGGGGAAGCGGTCATAGAAAGGATCTCCGCCGGTCACCACGTTGTCGCAGTCCTCGATGACGCTAGAAGGCACTTCTGCTGCACGGTCATACATTTCACGCATCAGGTCCAGGCGTTGCCTGCAGGCAAAGGAGGACATGGGCAGTGGTGAGAAACCAGGTTGAGGCCGGCCGAGCCCTCCCTGGCGTGGGCATTATTTGCCCACCTCAGCTTCTCCAGGGTCCAGTAATGCGTTGCCCCGTTCTTCTGGTCCTGCACCTCTACGGCCACAATGGTCCGGGGGAACGGCCGCTTCTCCCGGTCCTTGGCGGCATCGGGAGGCAGCAGGTCGGGAGGGAGAGGCGAGTACAGCGTGTCCGTGAGGAGCACAAACTGGAACTGGACCTGGAGAGGGGCAGAGAAGAGGACAGTGAGCCACCTGGGAGGACAGTGGGCTCCACGCGGTGCCTTCAGCAACCCCCTCCCCAGCACTTCCCTGGCTGCCCACATTTGTGGCCACTGCTGTGGGTGGCCCCGCAAAGCACAGAGGGGCGCCCGGGTGCTGTGGGTGCCGCAGCAAGCCAGAGAGGAGCCCCGGGTACCCACCTTCTTCTTCAGCTCCACGCTGATGGCGTTGGCTTCCTTGAGGAAGATGGCATTGCCCCAGAGCAGGTCACGGAGGGAGGTGAACTGATACCACTTCCACTTCCGAAAGGCCCAGAGGGCCAGCTCAAACTCCCGCTCCGTCCACTGCACTGTGGGGACATGGAGGGACAGTCACTCTGCCGCCGGGAAGGAGGACATCAGCACAGAGATGCCCAGGGGAACCCGCGGTCCACTCATTCTTGCTCCCGTAGAGAGCATCAAAACCCTGTGGTGGCACCCAGCCCTCACCTTCATCCTCAGGTTCTTCCTCTTCCTCGTTTGCCTCAGGGTAATACCTAGAGTCCATCTGCTTCTGCAAAGCCTCCAATTTGCTCTCGTAGTCCTGAGGGAAGCAGGGAGAGGGATGATGCAACTCACAAGGTGTGATCTTCCTCCATGCTGCCACATAGCACTTCTCCCCCCCCCCGCTACCACCGCAGGCACCCGGCCTCCTCCTTCCTCTGGATCCGCATTTATGGGGACAACCCCAGGAACAACAGGTTTGCCCTTGGTTTTAGGACACACAGAGCCACCCCAGGCAAACATCTGCCAGGGCTCAGTCATGCCTGGGCAGGCTGAGAAGGAGCCAGGTCCTGGTCACCTACCAGCCTCTGCTGCTCGAGAAGGTAATTCGCCTCCTCCCGCTCCCTCCGGTACTGGTCCTCCAGTTCCTGAAGCCTGGGAGGAATGGAGAAGGAGAGGATGACCAACCTGGAGATGGATACCCAACTCCCCATCGTCCCAGTCCCTGTGCCCTCACCGCTGCTCCATCTCCTGCTTCATGTCGATGCCCTGTTTCTCCAGCAGCTCTCTTTGGGCAAAAGCCCAGTCCACGGGCTCGGCAGGGGGCTCGGCGCATGGGGGCCGCCCCCGCTCCAGCCCAGCCAGGGGGCCCGCCCCCGCCCCTGCCGAGCCTGCTCAGGGTGGTTGAAGCGGAAGACGTGGCTCTTCCCCATGATGATGCGGTTTCCTACAAGGATGCAGGCAGGGCAAGGAGAACGGGCATGGGTTTAATGTGGGACAACCTGCAGGGCCCCCATGGAGGGAGGTGGTTTGGAGCAGCGCTGGTATGCCGGTTTCAGGGACCCACCTGAACGCAGGATGCTGGGCTCCATCACCTTTTTGCCATTCACGTAGGTGTCAGCGCCTTCACAGGGCTCCAGGGTCACTATTACTGCAGAGACAGCGAGAGGAGGAGAGAGGGACTGAAAGTAAGCTGGAAGCAGAGGGATAAATCCTGCATCTCCTGCACTGCTGCTCCTGTAGCCTCGGAAAGGGAGAAGAGATGCCTCAGCTGGCACCCCAGGCTCAGAGTGGGGGGAACATCGGGGTACACACTGGTGGCACCCACACCCTGGGCAACCAACGAGACTCGGCCAACCTTGTGTTAATTGTGGACCCAAGGGCTAAAAGCAGCTGGAGACTGGACGTGAAAAGAGATCAGAGCCTCCAACACGCACCTCCGGCCTCCCCAGGCTCGTCTTCCAAAGCCCTTTCACCCTGCTGGTTTGCAGGGCGGGTTGTGCTCCACGTCTTGGGTGGGGGAATCGTCTACAGCCTGCTCTTCCATCCCACCTTGATCTCCCTGGCTTGCCTTACTGCAGTAGCTTCCATGTTGCCTTGCACAGGCTTCCCTGCCAGCTAGGGGTGGGCCGTAGCTCCTTCTGGAAGCACGGAGAGGCCACGGCCATGCTGGAGAGCCCCAGCAGTCTGAGGAGGGCAGGACCGCCGGCTCGGGGCAGGTGCTGGGGACATGCCGAGGGATTGGGGTCCCTGGGGAGACAGAGCCCCTCCAGACAAGGAATACCTTCACCGCCGGTTTTGGTGTCGCTGCGGAAAAGGCAGTGCTCTTCCTTAATGAAATGTCCGCTGAGAACAATGTCCTGCCTCTTCTCTGCATCTTCTCGGCCAACCCTGCCGTGGAGAAACTCAGCTTCATCCTCCCTCAAAGCAGCCCCTCCCTGGGCCTCCCCCCAAACCATCCTTGGGGCTGACAGGAGCAGCCTTTGGTGCACAGCAGGACCAACGTCCCTAACGAGATTGCCAGGCAAATGCGTTTTTCCCCACATGGCTACGGCACTTTGGGGATGCCCCAGGAACGGTGCCCAGCCCGGGGACAGTTGTCGTCCTGCTGCCCACTCGGACAAGTCCAGCCCTGAGCTATGGGTTAGGCTCCCACCGCTCCGTGGGACCTGGCCCTCACCTTGTTATCCCATCTTTGATGTAGTAGAGAAGACACTCGGACATGAGCGGGTCCTCGTTCAGGTTGACCAAGTGCGGCGTCTGGGAGAGAGGAACAAGGAGTCACCTCGGTGCACCTTGACTACCCAGGCGCTGAGGGATGCTCCTGAGGGAGGTGGGAACTCGGCAGCACCTCAGGCTGCTCCCTGCACGGGCTCTCCTGCCCTCCGTAACTCCAGGACAATATGCCCAGGCAGGCACTTTTCAAGGGGACTGCAGAGAACCGAGCAGCTGGGATGAGGATGACCTGCCTCCGCACGCCTCCTTGCCTTCCTCCTCAAAGAGCCAAGATATGGGCACCCTTCCCCCAGCTGCCTTTGAAAATTTGTGTTGCAAACAGCTCCCAACATGGAGCCAAACACTTCCCATGGGGAATTCCTGATATGGCTTAGTGTCTCCTGGGGCAGGACGCTGCTCGTCTGCGTGGCATGTCCATGGGCCCTTGCCTCACCGGAGTCCCCGACTCCACTGTGGGCAGCGGAGCTGAGGCAGAGACACATCCCATGCAGTGGATGGTTTAGGATGAGAGGAACTAAAATTGCCTGTTTTCCTCCACTGATGGTACAAAGACAGATGAAGTACCCAAAAGAGCAGGTTCCAGACCAGAGGTTCAACCAAAAGTAGTGGAGACCTGAAGTTGTATCTCCAGGCTGAATTTCACTCCCTGGTCTCCTTCCTAACAGTTCCCTCCCATCACTTTCTTCCCCTGGGTCACAAACCACTTTGTTCTTGAAGAGACGGAAGTTTCTCCCCCAGCCACAGACCTTTCTGGTCACAGTCAGCTTAGCTCACCCCATCGCCAGCTGCTGCGATTGCACCTTCAGGCAACAGGCAAAGTCCTGGGAGGATCACTAGGTGAAATTCTGAGTTTCCCAGAAAATAAGAATAGAGACCTTAATAAACATCTTAGCCCGCTGACACCCGGCATGCAGAGGTTTCCCCCTCACAACAGCGCTACGAACCCTGGCTGATAGGAGAGACTCACTCCAAATAGTGTAGGAGAGCTGGAGGTCAAGGGAAACGGGCTCTTCTCCTTGGTGGCTGGCCAGAATAAGTTGGCTGTAACATTTAACCTCAGTCCCCTCCAGGCAGACAGGTAGCCACGGGGTCTGAGACTCCTTCGGCTTGCAGTTTTTCTACAGATGTGCAAGGTTAGCTAGTAGAAGGCAGACGCTCTACCGTCCACTGAGCTCCTTGGAGACACAACCGCCCCAGCGATGGCGTACAGCAGGACAACAAAGTCCTGCCCCGCTTAACGAAATGGGGTTTTGCACGCTAGCAATGCTAACTTTCCTCGCCAGCCACTGGAGAAGTCACGAGGAGTTTCCACCTGCCGGATAGCTGAAGAGCAAGGAGACACCAAGACCACCACAGCAATGCCCCACCTCCAAGACCAACCTGCTTTGGGGTATAAACCCCCACGCTCTCTACACAAAGCTCTGGGGTCCTAACAGGCAGCGGCTGAGACAAGAATGAGAAACAAGGACGACAGTGTAGAAATTTGTCCCAAGAACCATGACAAGGCACAGAACGGGAAGGTCCCGAAGCCTTCATCGTCAAGTGTCATCACATCAGCTGGGGACACACACATCTACTAAGAGGTTTGGCCAAACCAACCAGCACCAGCTGCCAGGGCAGCTCTCGGAGCATCCCTCGGTGCAGCAGGAGAGCCAAGCAAACGTACCCTGGTCCTACTGGGATGTGCCTGCACTTTGGCAGCCCGTGCTGCTCTGCAGGCTTCACAGGATTGGGGCTGTAAACTGGATGTCACTGCCATGATGGTTACACGGACGAGCGAGGGGCAGCAATGTGCTCTAACTGGAGCCTGGCAGGGTTTGCTGGCACACAAACCCTTTGGGGCACAGCCAGTATTTGCTTAGAAAATACTTTCCAGGATGCTACAAGCAATAAGGGGTATGGAATATTTCCTCACCCCCATTTCTCAGCGAGGACTTGCCAGTTTCAGGGGCAGCAATTTCAAACACCCCAAAGTATGGATTTTTATAAGCTGACGCTAAAGTCCAACATAGCGACTGTCAGCGCAGCCCCACCTGAATGGGGACGGCATCCAGGCAATGAGGGCTGGATGTATAGCCGTCTGTTTCTACCTATGTTTGTATCCAGCAGGGTCAACGCTGGGATCTCCTCCGTAGGTTTCAGAGCCAAGGAAAGGCTAGTGAAATATTTGGGGCTGGCCGGCAGTGATAGGGCAGGTTGGAAGGGAGCTGGGGGGTTACAAACCAACCCTCATTTGCCAGGAAGAAGAGAATAAGATGATCCTACCTTTTTAGGAGAGAAAACACCCAAGGTGCCTCCGTCCTCCCTCATGGCTACCCCCATTTCGGCCAGCAACGCCTCCCTGAAGGAGCAAGGGAAAGAAGAGCCTGTCAAACCCCCACGAGCCCCTGGAGCCGGTACTAGACAAGCCCAGGACGGGACCCGAGCCCATGGGTTTGCCCCATGGATCACAGCCATAGGGCTTGCTTCAGCTCTCTCCATGCCTCAGGAGGGTTTCTCAGAGCAGACCACATCCGTGCAGGCTAACGGGGGGGGCACTGGGGTGCCCGGGGGACAGCCAGGGTACCCCTGGATGGTCAAATTGCCTGGCTGCCCCCAGGAGCTGAACTGCAAAGTGCAAAGAAAGGGAGATGCCTGTGGAGTCCTACCCAGTCCCATCCCATCCCATCCCATCGCATCCCATCCCACCTACCTCTCCATCCGGATTGCTTCCGTCCTCCGCAGCTTTTCCTCCCACGTCTCGTTCAGCTCTGCAATGATCTTCTCCGTTTCCTGGCGAGCGCGGGGTTAGCAGGGGGTTAGTGTGTCCCAGGGGCAGCACACCTGCCCGTTCTGCCAGGCTCTGCCCAGCACGCTGCAGCGGGACACTGGTCCCAGTTTCAGGCTGGTTTAAATGAGCCACAGCAGCATTTCACCCACACCTTTCCATCGTCCCTGTCTTCAGAGAACGAGGCACAAAGACCAGCCTATCCCCTTGCTGCCAGCCCCCTCCTGTGCCAGGTTGAGCCAGGAGCGCCCATCCCAAGCCAGGAGTGCCCATCCCACTGGGTAAAGGCAGCAGTCACCCCGTGGAGAGGATGGCAGCACCAGGTAGACCCTACCATGCCGAACCCTCTCCCATCCAGCAGTCCAGAACACTGGGCAGCTCTGGGTCTGTCCGCTCTGCAAGAGGATGCTCGAGCATCACGTCCCATGAGCATCACCCATAATGGGTTTCCAGAAAATACTGAGCTCCCTCCACAAGTCTCAGGGCAAGAGCGTTGAGCTGAGCCCTCTGTCCTGCCAAGCGCCAGCCTCTTACCTTGAGCCTTTCGATCGCCTCTTCGCTGCCTGGAGCAAACATGATGCGCTCGTGGAGGCTGGCGACGGAGGCGGCGCGGCTGGACAAGGCTGACAGGGAGGAAGAGGGGCTGATCCCAGCGATGGCGTTGGTCACTGTGGAGAGATTGTCATGGCGGTGACTCAGCTCTACCCCTCTAGCATCATTATTGTTCTCAAAGTCGGACACATCTACAGGTGGGGAAGGAGGGATGGGCCAGGGAAAGACACACGGACAGGAAGAGAGAAAGAAAGAGAAAGACAGAGACAAGAAAAGCTGTTGGGGAAAAAAAAAAAGAGTGGCCAGGTGCGTCGAGAAGAAGGACAGGAATTACAAAGAAAAGGCACAGGCGACAGCACAGCAGCACAGGCAGCAGCAGGGCAAGGGCACGCACATCTCTCCCCCAGCCCGGGCAGCCCCCCCAGGAGCATGGAGCTGTTTTGGGAAGCAGACACTGGAACAGCCCTGGAGCCTTCCCGGGCTCCCAGGGATGCTTTTTTTTGCAACACCAGATCCTGCAGCCATCAGGTCCGGGGTCAACCATCCTCCCCAAGAGTGTGCTGCTGCCCCCATCATCCTCCCCCACCGACACAGCCCGGGCAGTTTTCCCTGTTCGGTTGCCCCAGATTAACTGGATCTGGAGGCAGAGAATGAGAAGGGAAGGGGAGGAGAGGTGGTGGCCCTCTGCCCTACAAAGGGGATGGGGGACGGAGCAGGAGGAGCCGTGGGATCCCCTTCAATGGCC